TGGCTGCTCCGGCCACCACAGCCTCAACCTGCTGGGCTCCGGCAATCCTTCCGCCTCAGCCTTCCACGTAGCCGGAATTACAGGCGCGCGCTACCACGCCCGGCTGATTTTTTGATTTATTGTAGAGATGAGGTCTCGCTGCCCAGGCGGATCTCGTACCCACGGGCTCAGGCAATCCACTCACCTCAGCCTCCCAAAGGCGCGGGATTACAGGCTGAGCCACCGAGCCTGGCTGGGAACACATCATTTTTCCTCCTCAAACCACACAGAGAGATAAAGAAAGTTAATAGTTCTGCAGGTTTGTGGAAAGCCAGCAACTGTTCTTCAAATCAGGAGATCACACTTGGCTTCTATCAGAGCTCGAGTGACTGGCCCCAAGTCACACAGCTAATGAGTGGCAGTGTTCAGGTTCAAACCTTAGTCTTCCAGCCCCCAACACATTTCCACTGGGTGCACTGTTGTCACCCAAGATGGGCTCAGTACCATATCCGGGGGTCATGTAGAGGGAGAGGGGATTATTCCTGATTAGATACACCATGCAAATATCACTGTATCTTTTTTCTTATTACACCTGGCTAATTTTCTCTATCTGCCTTAACAAGGGGGCCTTCAGGTTTTAAACATGAAGAACCACACTACCTAATGAATAAAGAGTTTTGGTAAAACCTTGAGATTAAAAGTCAACAGCGAAGATTCCAACCACAGCAAGCCAGGCCCATTCTACAAGGTTGAGTCATCACTTAGTGCTTGATCATGGACCATGAAACATCTCCTCTTCCTGCCTTTCCATAGCTAAAACAGTCCAAGTACATTTCCATGACAAATAAGAGCAAGCATTGGTAGGAAAGCTATTCTTTGGTTTTTTTTGAGTTGGAGTCTCACTCTGTCACCCAAGCTGGAGTGCAGTGACATGCTCACGGCCACCACAGCCTCAACCTGCTGGGCGCAAGTGATCCTTCTCCCTCAGCCTTCCAAGTAGTTGGAATGATAGGCATGAGCCACCACACCTGGCTGATTTTTTGATTTATTGTAGGGATGAGGTCTCACCAAGTTGCCCGGGCGGGTCTCGAACCCACGGGTTCCGGCCCTGGCCTCCCGAAGTGCTGGGGTTATAGGCGTGAGCCACCGCGCCCAGCCAGGAAAGCTATTCATTTTGTTCTGAGTCTCTTGGGACATCAAGTCTAGGGGAAAAGGTCAAGGGGTACAGCCTTAATCATAGCCAGACCTGACAGTGGTCACCACTTGTACTGCGGCCACAGCATCACTAATGACTTGAAATGTGACAGGAGATGAGTTTCTCAGCCCCATTTCTGGAGATTCATACAGAGGTCCTCATTCAGCTGGGCACCTCACAAAGGATGGTATTATGAATTCTACTGGCACAGTAACAGAGGGCTTGAGTTGTATTAAGAGTAATTTGATAAAACCTTTGGTTGTGATAGACATAATCTTTGAAGATGAAATCTAGGCGCATTGGGGAAAGATGGCGAGAAACATTGTTAGGAGTTTTTGTTTGTGTTTTTAACTCGCCATATCTCCTACAATATATTCCTGCCTCAAACAGGAGTCATACTGTGCAAAGTGTCCATTCTTATGTGGAAAGCTGGTTGGGAACATTGGAAGAATGTAAGACCATCATAAGAGGGTCAGAATGGGAAAACTGAGGGGTTGGGATATTGGTGTGGGTATGTATCTCAATGGCTCATACTGGGCTACAAAAACCCGGGGAGCTGGACTAGGCCAGGAGAAAGAGTCCTGGTTAAGAGAAGACAGAATCCTGGAATCAGAGACGCAGTAAATACCAAGCCTCAGGACCAGATGAGGTAAGCAATACAATTTTAAAACGCCAGTTGATACTAAGACAACCTGGAATGGACCCAGAAATAGAGCGCAAGAGGCCTTGGGTGGTGAAAACGCCAGGGCTCTCGAAGGCTGCTTTCTGTGACGCTGCTGGGGGTGCTGACCGAAATGAAGGAATGAGACCTGGGTCCACGCTAAATCCTTCTGGGATTTATGCAGCATTAGAATCTCAAAAATGCTTGAGAGCCTCAGACCTTGGCACTGCTCCAGCTCGGACTTCTCGGTTGATGGATGGAAGCGAGGCCCAGGACTCCCATCCTGAGTTCTGGGCTTTCTCCGGGACAGCCTGCGCTCCATTTGACTAGTAAACTGCTCTGGTTCCACATAATCAACACCTGCTGTATGCCAGCTCCTGGTGGCAGCAGTGGTGATTTACAAGTGCATACAGCCCAGCGCAGTGACTCACGCCTGTCATCCCAGCACTTTGGGAGGCCGAGG